CCAAAACACGAACGTGTCACGAGCCCTGCCACCCCACTTTCCCCGTGGCAGGCACTGATGAGGAGGAAAAAGGGTTCCGGAGCATTTAGGTACAAAGTCAGCCCTGCCTTCAAAACTAGAAATAAATTGAGCCACGTGGCATTTTGAAACAGCTGACAGAAATGAAATCAGAGCTGAACTGGGAAAACTATCAGGCTATCAGAGATTGTCTTTAAAAGCTGATTTTATACAGCAAGTCCAATAACAGAAGATGTGGTGAAGTTGGGTTTGCACGGTTGTGGGAGGACAATCAACGTAGCAGAATCTGAGATGCTGAAATAGGAAAATCCTATGAATTAATGTGCTGGAGAGCAGGTGGAAAAGCCAATAGTTAGATGGATGTATAGCTTGTCTGCTTATCATGGTACGGGAAATATTCTTAAACATCTTGATCAAGAGCTGAGAGATTTCTGAAGATACAGGAATTTGCCTTGGTAGTGTTGCCAGTGTGCCAATTCATAGCATCCCAACTCTTTAGGGCTGGAAGTAAAACTGAAATTTGGCCTTGACCTGGCAATATTACCTACTGTTGAGGGAGTAAAGACATGGACCAAATGAACTGACAGGTTTGCCACAGTAATAAATCCAAACAAGTCAAGAATGTGGATACATTCAAAAGAACTTCTCAAAGCCAGAAAATGTGACTGCTACTTCCTGGGAACTGATGAGGAGGTTACGTCTAGACTTCAAAAAGCAAAGGCATGTGTTTGGTTCAAGCAAATACAGTTTGGATAAAATGTAATGTATAAAATGCCCCACATGCATTTATTCAGGCAGATCTTTAACTGAATTCCTTTCAGATTACTACTAAGTACTTGATGTGCATGAAAGCATTGCGTTTGCCACAGGACTCTGACATTTGGAAGCAGTGTTGGAGATGCTTCTAAGGTTCCAGAAATGATTATAAAATTGAAAAATACTGGATGACATGCCCAGTACGGAGCTTTTACCAGTGCACAGATTTCCAATAATTTGCATGTAGAGAAAACACAAGAAGCTGCAAGAGGATGTGCTTGAAGTCATGTATAACTTGAGTATGACCCACTTCTGTAACAGAATTAAACAGTTTCAAATAAGATGCATTAAATGAACTCATCTTGGTGAAACTTAAGAGCACAACTGCAAATCATAGAATGGTTTGGAAATGGAAAAACTCTGCAAAAGAGAAACTCTCCTACCTTGCAGGATAAAATCATACTGACAATACTGAAATGAAACTACACCAGATAGTGCAACTCTGGGTACAGGGGGCTATGCAATAGTAACATCACGCAAAATGAGGTCAAAATTACTAAACAGGATTTGCAGTATCCATCTGGCTCTGTACACGATGAGGGACTGAAAAAAAATCCTACTGTGGTCAGGCAAATGCTGTCGTTCAAGATAAGGAATCCAAGTACAAATTCGACAATAAATATAGGAAATGATGCAAAAGAACTTCGGAAGCCTTAAGAGACCTGTGATTGCTGTTGATAAGATACATTTGGACTAAACAGGAAAGATGAATTATTAATAATTTTTAACTTGTTACAAAACATGCTGAACAACAGTGTAAAACACACTCAAAATCACAGTTTACGTGTCCTGGATTCCAGATGAGTTAATACCAGATAAAAGTCTGCGTTTCACAAATGATTTATTTCAATAATTTGCTTGAGAAATTAGATCAAGCATACTAAAGCAAGTCTTTATTAGGCACAGCCACATGGACTAGCAAAAAGACTGTTCAGTAAATATAGTGAGGAAGCAGAGGTCCAAGGAAACCATATCTGGTCTTGTTAGATTATCACAGCACACTTCTCAGTGCTCCACTGAGATTTCCTGTTCAAAGAATTATGGGCAATAAGGGACAAAACCAATAGATATGGTAAGCCAGGAATGTTTAATTGTTACAGCAGAGCTATTTGTCTAGAAATTAAAACAGATCAAATGTTACAAACACAACCAAGACAAGCAGCATTGCAAATGGAAGGGAAACTTAGACATCAGGCTGATTATACAGCTACCAATTCAACACAGTCTCCTCTCATCTGCAACAAGGTCAGATGTCATAAGCTTGCCAAAGCATTTTTCCCATTATTGGACCAGAGAAAAAGCTAAAGAAAACTAAGAAGCACTTTGGCTCCGTGCATTTTGAGGACCAGTAGGCTGATATCTTGACACCATTTGTGCCCTGACAGAGGTATCAGGTTTGTACACCTGTACACCGTCCAGCAATAAAAAGGTTCAAATTAAAAGACTCATTGGCTGTAGAAGGAATGACTATGTAACATGTGACACAGTCTGAAAACATTGATAGCTACTGACTTTTCGATTAGACAACTCTAGTTGTGCATTTTATTAACTGACTGCTTCAGTTTGTAGATGTTACTTTACGTATGTTTGCTATTAAAAGAAATCAGGAAAGGTATAGCAACTGCCACTGACTTGTGCAAAGCAAGAAAGAGTAACCTTTTGTAATCCTGATCCACCTGTCTACGCTGGAGCAGAAAATAAGTTTGATCTCCTCCCAACACATCTTTATTAAAAATATCACACATCTTGACAGAATTTGGCAGATAAAATAATCTGGTGCCTCTCATTTCAATTAGTTTCAGATTCCAACTGTTGAATCTTGTCATTATTTTGTCTATTCAGTCAAAGAGCATGCTACTATTAGATGGCTTCTCCTTGCATAGGTACTTCCACACTGTGTTCAAGTCAATTATAAACCTTCTGTTAAACAGTTTCAATTTTTTTTTTTTTGTGGCATGCTGTGTTTTTTCTTGTTTTTCAGATACTGAGTCATTCTTGAAGCTCTTCTACAAACCTCTCACAATCTTTCCACATCTTTCTTTAGTATGGACACCAGACTAGAATGTCAAGAAATAGCTTTGCTTTGCCTAGAGATAACTTCATCTCGTGCTCATACTGCATATTCCCATCAAAACTGGCAAAGTTAGCAGCCGCATTGCACTGAGAGCTCCTGTGCAGCTGGATAATCCCAGCAACTGTGATCCCAGAGACCTTTTCAGAGCTGCTGCTTTCTGAGCGGCAGCCTCTCATTCTGCCAGGATGACTGGCACTTTTTGTTCCCAGTTGCGTGACCTTGGATCTGTCTCCACTGAAACGTGTATTGTTTGAGCATACCAAAAGATGGCTTTGTAAGCTATGAGTAACCCATCCCATTATGCATGGCTACACTGAGTCTTGTTTCACCTGAAAACTTTTATCAGTCATCTTTCAAATCACTGACAAATAACATTAAGCCAGTAAATAATCTCTGCAGCTGCACTAGAAGCTCTCCCATATATATAATGATAATTTCAGATTAGGAAACAAGACTTAGTTTCTAATAAATTTAAGTTTTCTGTATTTATGTAGTATAGTCCTAACATTTTAATGTGAATGTCATGCTGTAGTAAGTTAAATACCACACAGATATCTGAGCATATTACAGTAACATAGTCTCCATGCAAACTAAGCTTTTAATTACGTAAGAAATATCAAGCTAACTTGGCAGACCCATTGCCCATAAAGTATTGACACTCACTACAAACCACTTACAGACATCCATGCATAGACCAGTGTGTGCTTGCACAAGGTACTAGCAGACTTCAAAAGTGTTTGTGGGCACCGAGGGAGCTAACGTATATCTTACCAGCACCAGCAGTGCTGGAACATAAATACGTGTTACTCGAGCCCTTAACTCCTCTTCTGGGACTACAGAAGCTGTCCTGTATTTCACACTCCTAGCTGTATCACACCACAGGACAGATGAACAGGTGGCCAAATTCATTGAAGTGAAGATCTGCCTTGGGGGCAAAAACCCAGCCAAACAAAAAACACCAGCAGAGGAACGAAGAGAGAACAGAAGTAGCACTGTTCACTTTGGTTCACTTTGAGACATTCACCCAGTGCAGGGTTTGGAACTTGACTCTCACTCCCTTCATTTCAAGTAACTGTGTGCCAGGAAACCTGCTGACGACAGAAAGCTGGATGGCATCTGTAGTAAGGAAGGCTGAAACATTCCATGGGAAATATTAGATGACCTTGAGGGCTGCTGTAGTAGAAATGGAAAGAATGGCTACAAGTCAGGGCATGTACCTGGAGTAATAAACAGAACCTCTACTGTAAATTGGGAGATCATCAGTAGGAAATTACAAAGGAGGAGAAAGACCTGGGTGTATTAGCCAACTGAAGGATGACTGTGGGTCTCCAGTGTGATGCAGCATGAAAAAGGCAAATACAACCACAAAATACTTCATTCAGGCAAGGGATTTCCAGCAGAGAAAGGGAACTGTCACATCACTATATAAGGCATTGATCAGACCTTGTTTGGCAACAGCCCTTCTCGTCCGTATTTCAGAAAGGCAAGTACAAACAAGAACAGAAAGGGCTGCTGGGTTGATAACTGGTCTTACAAAGAAAAGTCTACAAGAAATAGCATATGTGGAGTGGGAAAAGGAAAACGGAGGATACCATTGCTCTTCGTAGGTACATCAGAGAAAGTAGAGACGCATAAACTTGCGTTTGACCCAAGAACAACTGATGAGGAATAAATATAGGTTAAAACTTTGAGCACAGTTTCTAGTTATCAAAGTAAAGTATCCCACTATGAGATAGCATAGTAGTGGGAATAACATCTGCATAATCAAATTTTTATTACTGAGTTTGTTAGGCTTATTAAGTTTAAGGCTGACAGTGTTACTTGCAACAATAGAGCACTGGACTAAACAAATCAGAAGGCCATTTCCAGTCCTGTGACTTATGGACGCTGTTTTGTGATAGAAGTAACATGTAACTACAGTTGGGTTATCCTTGATGTACACCAGAAGGAGTTCGGAATGAACCAAGTCCAGATCACCTAAAACAAGTCTGAAAACATATTTTCAGTGGCTTAGAAAAGGAGGGACATGTGGAAAGAGGAAAAACAAAAACAACAGGAAAGAACACATTTCTTCAGATGCCGATATCCTTACCTCCCATGAGGAAGAGAAGCCCTGCCACATACTGCATAAGGCCTCGATCCCAACAGCACCCCAGCACCCCGATAATCCATCCAAAGAGGATGATGGCCACAGCCATGCCCATGAAGCCAGCTGTCATCCTGCGCAGATCTGCAGCGGGGAAGACAGAAAAACAGCATGCTTGTGAGCAGTCATAAATGATCATCATTGGAGGTTCATAACAGTCTTAGTCCACAATGCTACTGATCTGCAAGGTCTTCAGTGTGAGTTGGCACTGGATGATTTGCATGAGAATGGTTCAGAGGGAGGAAAATCCATAAATTAAGATACTAGCTTGGGCTGGGGAAGAGGCAGGAGGCGACCATTTCACCACACAATGACGCTCAGTACGGATGCACCCAAGTGATTCGTGACAAGTTGCTCAGGAATTAGAATTTGTAAAATGGCCTCAGTGCAATGCTGAGCCTAACAGCTCTAGTCTCTGAGTACTAACACAACATGTGTTTAAATCCCGCCTTCTTGTCTACATCCTTTACCTCACTGCATCCAATGGATGCACCTGCTCAACCTGACGTGCAAAGTGGGCTCTGCACTTTGCTCCAGCACAGACATGACGAGCGATTCACCTTGGTTCTGACTCCCTGTGTGATCTTGGGCAAGTCACTGGGCCTTTCTGGGCCACGGCTTCCCATGTGCAAGCAGGGCCACGCTGCCTTGCTGTACAGCAGTGGTGTGTGTGAAACTCGGTACTTCCGAGATGGGGAGGCACACAGATATTCTAATGTCAGAGATAATAAATGCACTGCAGATACACAGCTGAGGCACAGGACACTTTACTGCTCTCTCTCGTATCTAGAAGGTGACCTTGACAGATGATTTTTGGGGAGGATGTTTTTGAGCGCTCCAGGGAGCACTGAGAGTAGGAGGAGGGCAGGGGCTGCAGTGAAGCATTTTGTGCTCTGCAAGTGGGGACTGAGTACTGCATCTGATATGGATGCATGGGGTTTACCTGTATTTATTTCATAAATAAAGGAAAAAGATCCCCAAGACCTATGTAAGGGTTCCTAATGTAAGGAACTCTTAAATTCAAACCTTCCTATATCCTGTATTTCTCTTCTGCAAAAAGGATGGGACTACTGGGATCTCTTCTCCTGCATGTGCTGGGAAAAAAAAAAAAATCTTCACAGCTGTTTTTGATGTGAAATCTGGGCAGGGAGACCACCTGGCAACCAAAAAAGCAAGGACTATGACAGCTGAAGAGCATCTTTACACCATCAAATAATGGAACAGATGGGGGCATCTTCACTAACATTTGATTGTTCCTTATCCCCCTCATGCACACATAGAAAGTTTAAGCACTGATATGTCAAGATTATATGTGCTGGGAAAATTCCAGCCAAGTCAGCTCTCCAAACATTTGTTTCCTTCTTGAAACACTTTTTTTTTCCTGCATAGCAATGATTTCACTTTCTTTCAAGAAACAGAATGCTTATAACAGGGAGAGGAAGATTTGAAAACTGTGAATCATTCACCAGTCTCTGTGGCAGTTTTTCTCCTTGGCTGGCCTTTGACAGTTTCTCAATTTCTGTTGTTTTTTACTCTTTTCCCACAGTGGATCACAAGGACCACCAATACTAGCAGTGCAGTTTCAGTGAAATTTGTAAACAGTGATAAATTAGCATCATCAGAGATTTATAAAACTCCTTATCCAAAATGCTAAGTGTCCACAAGGTCCATAGATGTGTTGGGACGGAATGATTTGATTCAGCGGAAGGCAGTTTACTCAGGGCTGTGTTCGTTATAGCAATTCTTATGCAAGATGGAGTTGCACAATGCAACCCCTCCCTTGAGACTATGACCGGTTCCTGTAGATTGCCGCTAATTTTTGCAAGGATTCCCTCTAACAACATAGAGATTACCAGGCCTTCAGCCCACCAGTGACCAGGGCCCTTTTAACAAGATACACATCTTAAAATGCAGATTTTTTTCTTAGGTTTTGTGACGGTCCAACCAAAAACAAACAAAAAAAAACCCCACTTCCCAAAAAGCATTTGAACATGTTCAAGGAGGTCTGGTGCAGAAAAAAAAAACGTTTCCTGCAGAGACTTGTACTTCCCAGAGGCAATGCTAGTCTCTGTTCCTTGGGAATTTCTCAGAGTGCTTTCTAAAATAAGCAGTAAATGCTAGTAAGCATCTTTGACGGCAGTGTCTTCCTATTTTTCGGTCCATGAAGGCCTGGGCTCAATTTGAAAGACAGATAAAAACCTAAAATATTTACCATTTCCTATGTCATCTTCAATAACAGCAGAACATGTCTCTTGGAAGTGCTGCACAGCTGCCTGTCAGCTCTGCAGAACCCTTCCCTTTTAACTTTCGACTGCTGACTCTGGGTAACAGCCCTTGCCCACCCTAATGTTAGCATCCCCCAACAACCTGCTTTTAATGAGCTCAATTTAAATAGCTTCACTCAGCTGCAGGATGTCAGTAACTACCTCAGACCCAGCCCAGTGATTAGCTGATAGAGCCAGTTTTCATAGGTTCCAGACAGGATCACAAGCACCCCCACATCCTATATACCAAACTAAGGAAAAGCTTTTGCCCCACTAAAATCAGTGTGAGTTTTGCCATTAGACACAAGAGTTAAAGTAGCAGGACCAAGATTTCTGGGCCCAATTTTGAGGTTTGTTTCACTTGACCTCTCTTCCTGATGGACCCTGGAATTCCCTTTCTAACACAGCAAAATCCATCAGCATCTTAACCCTGGCCTTACATTATCTTTTGGAAAAAAAAAAAAAGATAGCTTCTGACAGACACTTAGTACCACATTCAAAAAATTCAAAATTGAAATTCGTTATGATATCTCAGCTCTCACAGGTTCAGTGGGCTCAGTTTAAGACTGCCACTGCTTAGGCCAGTTGTAAATCTGCTCCTCACAAGCCCCTCCATTAGGGCTTATCTGAAATAAATAAAATATAAACTTCCTTTTCTATTCGAAACCATCTTGGCTTTTGTCCTGCCATAACCTTCCTTGAGGGCAGCCCTTGCTAATGGCAATGATGGGAAAGGGGGTTGCAAAGTTGGTTTCATAAACAGCCTGTGCTTGTCCAATAGCATCTTGCCAGTGCTCCTCACCTGCCAGAGCCCACATGAAGCTGTGGTCAGTGCTGGGAATAAGTCTATTGAAAGTGATTCTTTTGTGGGAAAGTACTTAATGTATGTAACAGAATCATTACCCTCAGGCTATTTAGTGAGGAGAAGGCCAGGGAATAGGAGCCTATATTCTCTGGACACAAACCCCTATTAGTGGTACTTTTTATCATTACTGTTTTGTTGGTGCTTGACATGGAAAGGACAGCAGAAAAGCAAAGATTTGCATTGTGTAGGCAATATATAAATTCCTTCTGCTAATTTAGGAGCAAGGGATGCCATATAACAATAGCTCATCAGTACAAATTGATGGGGTTTTGTGTGAGTTTGGCACTGATAAGACCTTTCCTGAATACATCCTATAAAAGTAAAAAGGGTCATGCTTTGTCACGGAACACCACTTTATGACATTTGAGCACATCCTGGGTTTGTTTTTTTATTTTTCTGAAATTGCTTTTATTTATTTTTAGACTATGAAATAAATTGTTCTCTACACTCTCTCTTTCTTCGAAAACCTGTCTGAGTAACTACAGCATCTCAGGATCATGGCATGACAAACCCAATCAACTGAAGGAGTGACTATGCCAGCAAAATGCATTGTTGAGTCTCATGCAGCCGAGTAGGAGCTGCAACAGCAAACATACCTTATCTTAGCTCACTAACGCGCACTGCTTAGCTGGTTCTACAGCTGATCCTCTCCTGGATACTCATCCCAAGTCCTCACACTGTAGCAAAGTGCACAGATTACAGGGGCACTATGAATCCCCCTTCTCCACCAATTAGTAACCCAAACCTTTAGAAATGTAGCTACCAGCTGCAAGCGAGGAAAGTATTACATTACTCGTTCTGTAAGACCTATAATACAGAAGTGGATTTTCAATGCCTTGCCTATATGGCAAGTAATTTCAATTATTTACTTCAAGGACCACCATCACTTACGGGTTAAAGTGCAATATCATCTTTCCACTCATGTTTTAGAGACACCATCTTCATTCCACTTTCTTTTTTATATTAACAGACTAAAAGCTACATGTGAATATCTTCCCCTTGGGAGTACTTTCCATGCCTAGCACTGCTGCAGGTGCTGCTGCTTGTAACAGGCAGGGAACTCAATCCTGACTCAAAAACAATGTGGATCATCAGGAGGAATACAGGTTTCTCATTCATGTAGGCTGGAAACAACAAATTTCTTGATTTCAGACAGGGAATGAAGTAATCCAATTCCCATGACTGAAATTGAAATGGTAAATTTTAAAGCCATGAGCTTCATGAATCGTGATGAAAAGAGAAATGTTAGCATTTTAGACAACCTCCTTAAAATAGAGACAGATTCTCATAAACCAGCCTGCTTTTCCTAAAAGCATTTTAGTCTTCCACTGGAGAATATTAACTCTAAAGGTTTTCTGAAGATAAAGAAAGGGAGAAGAGCTGGTTTAGATCCATTTATTTCCAAGCAGCATGTGATGGAAGGTTCTCTCTGTCAGTTTTCAAATGCCCCTGCCCTTCATTTCACCCTGATATCTGCCCATCTGTATTTGTTATGAGCAATAAAGTAATTCATGCTGGTTGTCACATCGTGGAAGAAGTTTCACACCCCAACAGCTGCAAACATAACATGTTCTGAATCAGTGTTGCTTCTTGAAAATTTCAATATGTGTTTTTGACTTCTGATGTACTGTCCTCTTCCTTGAAATTGCAAGTCATCTTTCTAAAGCCAGGGCTTGGTCTTCCTGGTGATATCTCTCTACCTTCCTTTCTACAGAGGAGTTTAATAATACTTCATTAGGGATTTCTTTCCTCACAACACATACAGGAAGGAAAATATAAGCCTCTTGTGAAAGATGGGGAAACCAAGACAGGATGAGAATAGTCAGCCTGCCCATGGCTATGTGAAAAGTTTGTGGAGAGGCGTGTAATTGAATCTATATTATAGGGCTTTCTGGTGAGCCCTTCAACCATACAGCACTGCTTTTGCTTCCAGAACTGCTTAGTCTCAAACATTT